CTAGCAGTTTTTTCATAAGAAATACATGGCTATTAATAATACTTGGTCGTCTTTGTATTTTAGGGAGCCATTAGAGACGCATGAGAAAATACCAGCAGAAAAATACGTTCCAGTATACATTCATGCCATTTCAAACACCACTGGATTATTATTACTGATTAGGGGGAAAAATCCAACAGCTGTCTGGGGAATTCCCTTGATGCCTGGGTTACTGATTTAATAGCTACACATTGCCTAGATCCTACCACTCCACTAATGTTTGAAAATGCTGTATATGAGTTTACATTATTTTTTTCCTATTATTGCACAAAAATTATGTATTTTAGTCTGATTTTTAGGTGAATTCAAGATTAACTGTTACTTCCACTCTACACAATAGGAATATGAAATAGCAGTTGTATCTTTTTAAGTAAAAACTAAGGTGAGTATTTAGAGCTAAAAGAAATCCAAGTTTTCAGAAAGCTGCTAAGTATTAAATTTCACCTACAATTAATTCAAAAATTCTGCTCTTCCCTCTCTCCCCTCCAGGAAATTGGAACTAGAAAAATGAAGCAGAAATTTAAGGTAGGGAAACTATTCAAGTGTGAAGGGGCTGTAATTGTTACAGTTGCTTAGGTTACGGTGATATGCTTTGGATGTAAGTTTGACATCCTCTCTGGTACATTTAGAATAAATAAGTAAACAAACAAACAACTGCCTGCTAGCTTTAAATTCTTTGCCTTCATCTGTGAGTGCTGCAGTCAGCCTGTCTCTGGTTTACTTCCTTATGACTGGGTTCAGCCTGCACAGGCTGTGGTTTTTGTTCCGCGTGAGGCTCCCTGTGCATGCCCTGCTCGTGAAGCACACTGATAAGAGGCATGGTGTGAATGGCAGCTTATGTCACGTGGACCATGAGATATGGCAGTGCTGTGTGGCACACTGCTGCAACAGAAGCAGCCCTGCTGGTAACACAGATCTCCTTCGAGTGTGGATTGCATCGCTTTGGATTCTCGTGCCTAAAAACATGGGTGTTGACTGAGAATAGTACCAGTGTTCAGACCCAAGAATGTAAATGTGGTGCGGTAAACAGTCTCTCCATGACCGCTTAACCCGGAGCAGGATAATCTAAGTAGTACAGACTGTCCTGGTCAAATAAAACAAGCATACAAGGAAGAATGACACACTTTGTGTTATATTGCCTCAGTGAAGCATCCCTCTTTTCCAGGATGGAGGGTACAGCAGGCAGCAGCAAGTCCTGTAAAAGACTTCTCCTTCTAGAGGTGGAATCAACAGAGGTAGTATTTTACTACAGGCCTCTCTCATATATATAAGTTTAATTGAATTTAGCTCTACCACATACCAAAGGCAATATATAACCATTAGCATGATTTTTGGTCTAAAAATGGTAAGCATTTTTGCATATATATGATGCTATTTATTTGCTTAGCATGGGCCTTATTAAAAAAAAAAAAGGACAAAAACTTGAGCAAGGGTATCAGCTGTTGTCTGTTTGGCCTGATACACTTGCAATGATTTTTATGGAAGAAAATGTTGTCCTAAACCACTGTCGTTCCTCTGTTTCTGACAAGTAATGTGATATACAGTGAAATCCTGTCCCTTCCTACAATGTTGGCTGTTGCTAGTACTCTAGGTGTCTACTAAATGTCACAACTTTTATGAGAAGCACGGAAAATTCTGTATAATGAATCTTTAAGCCAATAAGAAGATATTATGAACAAAAAATGTGTTTAAAAGTGTAAAGATAACAGCTTAATATAAAAATCTCGTGCTTTTATATTTTCACTGGGGAAGAAAGGGAGATCACAAAATTTGTGCCTGCAGAAGGAAGAGGGCCATAGGTAACAATTAAATAATGCATGTTCTTTGGTCTAATCAAAGGTAAACACTGTATATTGATCCTCAGCAGTCTGCCGCAAAAAACTATTCTAACATCATACCAGCTACGCACACGTTTGTCCTGAACCACTCATACCAGCTATACTGATTGAGCTCTTTTGTTCTGTGATCTGCCTCCTCCTTCACTGGAAGAGCAACAATGGCAATGCAGTGAACCACTTAATTTGGAATCTAACATTTCTGTTAGAGCCATTTAATTCTGGGATCTTATAATCCTCAAAAAACAAAGAAAAACTGAAACTCTTGGAAAATACAGAATGATGATGTACTACTCTAATCATGGAGGTCCCAAGCAATACTTCCAAGTACAGCTCATCGTGATCACAAACATCGATGTGTTTGAAATCCGCATCTAATCTGATGTACGCTTTGTTTCAAAATGACAAAAACATTTTGATTTTACAGTCATGATGTTTGAGTCAACTTTTAAAAAATGATTAAATGGAAAATGGGAATCTGCGAATAAATAATGTTGGATAAATCTTATGCCATACCAATGCTATGCTTTCAAATGCTTTTTTTTTCAGTTAAACACTGAGATAAATTTTCCTAGCTACTTATGTATCTCGCTATTGGTTGTTATCTCTAATATAAGCCTATTCTCTACCCAGTTACCAACTATGTATTAGAGAATTAACCACAACTGTTAAGGTCACATCAGGTCAACTTTAAAGTGATAAAACCTTAATGGAGAAAGGGATCAAGAATGTAACAAAATCTCTTATTTCTGTTTTCTACATCTCTGGAGAAATATTTTAAAGTTCACTAAGAAATGCTTATCTAAACACACTTATCTTTTAATATTATTTCAAATATAGGTAATTGAATTCTAAATCCAGTTCATAAAATATTTCAATAAAATAAATCATATTAAATAAATCATGTAGTGGTTCTTAGAAAACTTGTGCAAACCTGCAATCCTAATATATATATATTACTCCCAGGGAGCTCTAAACAGAAAGAACCTTCCGTTGCTGTGTTTGTTAACATATTTAATCATTTATGATATAATAAATTACCCCTCTTTTGTTTATTGAGACTTAGCTAAAAGCTGGCTAGAAAACAAGTGGCTCTAATCTCTCTAATCTCAACCAGTGATTTTGTTGCCTCAGTATCTAACTAGCAGACATCCTCTAGCTAATACTTTTGGCATTTTTAAGGTGTTATGATCTTATAGCTATATTGGATGAGAACTTTAAAAACAGTAAGAATATTACTAAGATGATATTTTAGTTCTGCAAAAAGAAATAGTACTTTTCTTTTGAAAAAAATATTTGTTGCTGTTTGGAAAGAGCATGTTTCTCCTTGTAGCTTTCACCCTACCAACCTTGTTCCCCTTCTCTAGCTCCTCTGTTTCTCTTAAAATCCCCGAGAACCTCACTAAACCTCACCAGAGAGGTTTCTAAAACCTCACCTTGGTTATAATGCTTTAATCCCTCATGGAATCTACAATTTATTTCTTAACAAAATTTGTCTTCCCCCCTGTGGAGGTTTGGTTTCTACTATTGACCTCGCCCTTTCTTGTTTCACCAAATCAAAAGCATAACTGATGCAGTTAAATTCTGCATCTTTTTTTGAAAGACCACCATTAACCTCTTGCTATTCTTATCAGTAAAAAAAAAAAAAAAAAAAAAAAAAATTATCCAATGGACTGACTTCCTGGCTGACAATTTTTTCAAAATCTCCATAACTTTTTTCATAGGCTTGCTCTTTCCTCCTTTGTGCCAATACCTTTGTATCAACATTACTGTTAAGCACTTTCATTTTCTGTATCGGTATTTCTATTTTTTGCCTTCCACTAATCACATTTGTCCTTTCTTTCATTTCACCTCCATTTATCCCATTACACTGCATGTCTCAGTGCTCAAAGTTAATCTCCTCCAAGCATTTCTTCTCTTTTGCAACTAATACTTCTGCAGAAATCCTTCAACTACGCACAGACCTTCTACTTCCAGTTGGCTAAGCCCTTCTGATTTCCCCCGTGCAATTCTCTTCTTTAAAATCACATACAGTCCATGTAACTCAGGGTATAGAGCTGTATTATTCTTGCTATATAGATACACAGCTACCTATATGGGTGCAGGACGGTGGGGCCGTTATCGCATGGAGGGGCAACATCGGTTAGAAACCTGGGAAAGGAACCAGAGTAAATGAGCAGGTGAGTGGGAGAGTGATGGATGAGAGAGGGAACGGGCCTGTGGGTGACTGGGAAGGAGAAACGCAGCAAAATCAAACAGTGCGGGGGTGAAGGACAAAAATAATGGAGAGATTCAAATGCATGGCAGAGGACAAGGCTAAAAACAGACATCACAGAAAACTGGGAACAGAAAATGCAGACAGACGGCAGCACGAAAGAGCAGTAAATGGGTGGAACAGTTGCCGTAATGCTGCGAACGCCTAAGTTCAATACACTGAAATGAAGGGATGGTGGCAGGACAATATGTAGCAAGGCCAAAAAGCTCGAACAGAAGGGTTGTAATAAATATTTATTACAATAATAAGCATAATGCCACCTCAGATCCTATCACTTCCCCCGAACCCATGGCAGCCCAGCACCATGCCAGGAGCCAGCTGATCCCTGGCCTCTGGTAAGGGGTCCGGTCCCCGTGCCCTCAGACTGCAATCGCTGTCACAGGGGTCCTGATATGGTGTCACCCTGGCACCAAACTGTGCTAGGGACAGGGGGACGAAGCGTTTCAGTATCCCACCGCCTGGCAGCAAGGGCTGAAACGTGTCTGCCCCTGTGCCTGCCCTCCACACCCAGCAGCTCCAGGAGGCTTGGCCAGGGCTACAGTCCGCGGTGGGGAGGAAAGCAAGCCGCGAGAGCGGCCGTCCCTCGGCTCCACGGCGGAGCAGGGGGCGCAGGCCGAGGCGCCCCCCCCCCGCG